AGGAATGCTGAATCCTGCTGGAAGAGGCCAAGCCCCTCTCCCTCCCACCACAGCCAGTGGGAGTTGAGGCTTTTCAGCACACAGATTTTCTGTCAGCAATGAGTCCAAGTGATTTCCCTGCAGTAAAACCGAGTCCTGTTTCATACTGTTAGGCCACCCCTGGCTCAGAGGTGGTGAGAGACTTCCAAAAACCTGCTGATGAAGGCAGGACCTGGGAAGAGGTGGCTTCCACGCCACGTAACCTTAGATGGTCTGGTACCCGGGAGCACCAGCTGCCAACTCATCCTGCCAGATGGGGGTGTTTGGGTCCTTGCCACCGTGGTTGTTGTCCCAGTGCTCTTCCCCGGAGCCCAACGCTCCCACGCGCTGCCCGGGGGGGATCTACAACAATCTCTTCCAGTCGAGGGTGGGATTTCAAACTCGCCGAAGGTGCGCATTGCCACCTGGTGCCCCAGCAGCCCCGGGAGCGCTAGCAGTTCTTCACCTTCTCCACAGTCTCGTAGAAGCCGGGCCGGACCCTGCGGATGCTCATGCGGATGTGCTGACATTCCAGCGGGATGGCGGCGCCGGCGGCCGCCACGGAGCAGCGGCGCTTCCTCCTGCCCCGCAGTGAGAAGGCGGGAGCCCCGTTCTCCTCCCCCGCGGGGCAGGACTCATCCACACTGGTGCCCTCGTCCGACTGCTCGTCGCTTCTGTACTTGGCCTCCTTGGCTTTGCTCCCCTCCTTCTCCTCCCTGGCCAGCTTCCTGAAGTGCTCCAGACACTGGATCTTTTGTCTTCTCTCCATCATTTTCAGCTCTTGCTTGTCTGTGAAATCTTCATAGTACATTTTCCTTTCGCTTCTTTGATCTTCCAGGAACTTCCACTCGATGCTGGTCATTTTTATCCCACTCAGCTCCTCTAGTTTGTTCCTCATCTGCACGTCCATACAAAACACATCAAAGAGCTTCTCTGAACTCTCATTGAATTTGTCGGCCCGCTCGGTAAACGCCTGGTTCTGTCTCTGCTTCCTGGTCTGGTACAATCTGCTAAACTCCTCGTACATTTTGAGGATGAGTTTCTTTATGTTTTGGGTGGCGATGGTGTGGAGGTTGCACCCCAGCCAGTGCTCCTGCAGGTGCTCAGCCAGCAGCTGGGCCGCATCCTCCTTGGAGCGCTGGGCCTGGCCAGCCCTCTTGGGCTGCAGCAGGTACAGCATGTTCTGCACCACATCCTTCTTGGTGGGCAGGACTCCCTGCGGGAAACCCGAAGACTCCACGTACTCAACAGTCCCCAGAGTCTTCCGTACCCTCACCTCGGTGTCCAGCGACTCCATCACTGCTCCTTCGGCTCCTCGTTATGACATAACCTGAAGATGAAGGGGAGAAAAACAACAACAAAAAGGAGTATGTCAGATGAAGGTGCTTTTTTCGGTTTGTTTTTTCCCCCCCGCACAAGAAACAAGCGGCAGAAAGCGCTCGGACCAATGGGACGCGGGCTCCGGGCGCGCTGCCTCGCTGTTGGGCGCTGCTGCCTCGGCCCAGCCCACCGGAACCTCCGCGCGTCCAGCCGCTCCCGCTCCTCTCCGCCCCTCCCCCCCCCCCCGCCGCCCCCCCCGCGCCCCCAGCCGCTCCCGCTCCTCTCCGCCGTTCCTAAAGCCTAATATGGCGTGTTTGTTCACGGCAATTCGTTTGTCGTTGGGTTTTGCACGTCAGAGTGTCCATTGCGGTAAACCGGCCGCCCGGGGTGCCGGACACGCCGGGGCGGACGCGGCTCCTCCCGCCCCGCGGCCCAGCCCGGCC